GAAGAAAGGAAGGCAGGCAGGAATTAAAGAGAGGGAAGGCAAAGCAGAAGAGACAGGAGGGGAATGGAGAGGAGGAACAGGAAAGAAAGTCCTTTCCATAGTGGAGGCTCTGGCAGGAAAGGATCTGGTGACCCCGGCCAGAATTATAAAATCAAACAACTTTGTCTCCGTAAAAAACTAAACATCGGGACACTAGGGACCTGGCCCTGCTCCATCACCTTGACCAAGTCATTACCCTCCAGAGGATTTAGACTCCTCTAAGTGTTCAGGCTCATTCCCAAGGACCTTGTGGTCCTCCCACGGCCTCACCCTTAGCTGTCCCCACTTATAAAAGACATAAGATTTTCAGCTTGCAAAAAAGAACTTAAAATTCAGATGAAGTCAGAATATTTGAAACTGGGGTTGACTCAAATTCTGACAAGTAAAATTAATTAAGTCATTAGCTGATAGGTTTAACTCAAGACACTTCCCAAGAGGTCTTGGCCATTAACTGCTTGCAAAGGAGTCATTTTAAAAGCTCCCTTAGGAGGCCCTAACACCTCCCCTCCCCCACACCGTGCCTAACAAAGGAAGGGTGAATTTTTTTAACTTGTTTTTTGTTTCTTTCTTTCTTTCTTTTGGTTAGATTTTGGGTTGGTTTGTTTTTTGGAGTGGGGTGAACAGAAAATAAGCTAAATATACGATGGCTGAAGCCTACCGAGTAGCTTTCTATAACTTGCAGAGAACTGAGAGAAGCAAGTCCATACAACATCTATTTTCTAAGCTTTGCTGGGAAATGAGAGTCAACTGTACGAAAAGAGCAGGGAGCAGGGGAAATTTCAGGTTTGGGGGAGGTGATCTCGCAGGATGCTGGGAACAAAACAATAGGCACTTATGACGCACTGCCCAGTTATCAAGTCAGGAGCTCCAGGTCTGGTTCAGTCTAGGAATTTTGTCTTCAGATCCTAGAGGCAGAAGCTAAAGAACCATCAGTGTGCCACACAGACAATCAGTCCTAAAAAGTGGTCTTCCACCTCTAATCACATGATAACCTTAGCAATTCCTACTCTTAAAAACAGTACCTCCCCCTAGGGAGAAAAAGAAAAAGAAAAAGCAATGTGATGACTGCAACGAAGGAACGGAATAGGACTAAAATCCCCCAGAATCTGAACTAATTTGGAACTTTTTGGCTAGCATCTAAGCGTATCACTGGGAAATGCAACTTACTTGGCAAACCCAGACCAACAACATGTTAAGAGTTAGTGAAGAGAATGGCCCATTTCATAAGACCGCCATGGCTTAATCGCTCTGGGCTCACAAACATTTTGCAATCTACTATCACCATGTCAAGAACCAGAATTTTAGTGCCTTGACACTGCCAGACCAGAACTCCAACATCTTCACAAGGGCAGCCCCTCCTAACAGACATGCGTACTTAGACAATGTCTGGATAACACTCCCACGTTTAATATACTTTTTTGCCCTTTATCATTCAATAGAATCCTGTTATCTATATCCAGTAAGCCAAAGACTCAAAACTCTGCCCTCCAGGGCCTCACAAACTAGCATCTTCGTAAATTTGTTTTTTCTTTACACAGGAGGCTGAGGTAGGAAGATCCTTGCAAATTTTGAGACCACCGTGGGCTACAAAGTGACCCTGTCTCATAAAGATAAATAAATAAATAAATGTTTTCTCTTCATTCCACATATTTACTATTGACTTATTAGCAGCTGTCTATTCTAGTACTATGAAAATATTTACAGAATGTAAACTATATTATTTGTTCTCTAAGCACTTTAAAAAAAATTATCTGAAAGCAACTATTTGGTGCTTATTACGTGTAAAAGGAATTAATTTAAATACAAAATGTGTCCTAGTGAACTGAAACAGATATTCTGTATTTACCTAGATCCTTCCCTCCTCCCTGGGGTAAATGGGTGTGGGGACACACGCCTGTAATCCCAACATTCTGGAGGCTGAGGCAGGAGGAACTGTTTGAGGCCAGTCTGGACACAACATCCTATCTAAGAAATTAAAAAAGAAAAATTCCTGAGAGACAAATGTCCTTGCTGCTTACCACCTGCAGAAAAATGTGTTCCCTCAAAATGTTCTAGACTATAAAGTTTGACTGTCACACTTAGAATCTTAGAAACTAGCAAGTGTGTATACATCTCCCAAGCATGATGTGGGAGGTGTAGCCTCCACAACACCCCCCCACCCCGCCCCATGGCTCCATTCCTACCCAGTTGGCCTGAGAGAGTTAGGCATCAGGTAGCATCAAGGCATCAGGGAACTGAGGTCAGCTCAGACACTGTCACACACATGTGTGCTGGCGGCCAATCTCTTCACCCGTCACATTTTAAATACAAATGAAGGAAATTGTATCAACCATCAGTTTTGAGTCTCAATATATTTTCCCAAAGCTCCAGATTTTATAAACATTTGCAGAACAGTTTTCTAGCAGTAGAAAGATCACTCTGCTCCACTTGGTGTCTTCCTACTGTGTACCAAGGGAAGTAAGCCACATCCTCTTTCTGTACATTTTACCACAGCAATCCTAATGCCCAAGTTCACGCCAAAGGAAAACAAGTCTGCTTTAAAAAGGCATGAATGGACAGAACTTGTTTTGGGACATGCTTTGCTCTTGCAGGCCTCACACCGAACCAGTAGCTGAGTAAGAAGTACGTATTTTCTTTTCTCCTATATCTGGTTTGATCTTCTAGGGCCCCACCCCATCCTTCGACTCAGCCAAAGAACACTCTGCTACAACTGACCCAACAGTGCTGGAATCTGCCAGGAAAGGGAAAGCAAATATTCAGAATGTGCCACCTGCCAGCTTCTCCTCCCCTAAACAGCCTTCGGCCCAATTTTTCATTTAAGTCAGGCACTTTGGGCCCAAGCCCTAGCAAGAGATGCAAGGCCATGTTATCAATGCTATCAATCAGTGTTTTCAGTGGCTGCAGGTAAATAACAATCTTCTCATTTGATGAACTTAAAAAACAATCACTCCGACTATAAATGTTCACTGGATTTTCTGGAATTTCAGTCTAGAAACTTATCAAAAAAAATTTAGAAAATGCAAAAATAGAACATTTACATTAAAACTATACACTGTACATCTACTAAATCCATATGCAAAATGTATAGTGTATGTAAACATAGTCTATCACATATTTTTTAAATACTGAGTAAAAAGAGCAGATAAAAATTTTATATCAACTTTCCTGATTCTCTCTCTGTACAGTAATAATCATAAATACCAGTGAACATCTAGAAATGGAGTATCTGGGATTTCAGCTAAAGTTATTTGAAAAGGAGATACACATGATTTTATGTGCAGGAAAAAAACAGAACTACATTAATTGAGCATCTATTATATACAGACGGTAGGCACTTCATACACATCAATTTGTCTCGTTTCGTCTTTTCCTCAATTTTCATCCTAAAATTCAGAAAGCTTAGGCAGGAGGTTCATGACTTGAAGCCACTCTGAGGTATCCTATCTCAAAAAGCAAACACACAGCACAACCCCAAGGATCAAAAGAGTTGAGTAACTCTGCCAACAGTCAGTTGGAAAACATGGATTTGATCCAGCCAAATTCTCTTCAACACCCAAAAGCTTCATCACCGGGGTAAAAACTGAACAGTTTTATCCTTCCCAGAGATTCTTTCTAAAAACCATGTCTCCTCCAGTTGGAAAAAGAAAATAATGTATCTCAAAGCAATAATGTATCTGTACAGCCTTTTCCAATTACCTTCACACCGGGCAATTCTAAATCTGACACTAAAGTTGTTTTTTTATGTGTGGATGCGGAGATCTGACTGTACTAACCCCACCCGTGTGATTCTAGTTGACCTAACTACTGCTCCGCCAAAAAGACATCTACTAATTCCCTACAGTTTTAAGCTCAGAGCAGGTTAAAGCTTCATCCTCCTTGTGTAAGTGCTGTTTTCCAGAAATATGCCAAACCCACGGGAGGTTTGGTGACTGGACATTTCAAAATAATTGACAGAGTACAGATGAGGCAAAATAAATCCTATTGTTCTTAGTGCTCGATACATAAAACAAATACAGTATCCTGTAATTGTACAAACTGCCTAAAACTGCAAACAGTAAATCAACATTCTGGCGAGTGAGGAAATGGTTATTTTCTTCTCAAGGGTCACACAGCAAATGGTGACTAGGATCAACATCAGGACCATTAACCTCTTTCAGCTTCAACTGAGAGACGTCCGTCGGCAAATATTTACAAGCAGAGTTCACATCCACTCTGTGAAGGTCTTGGCTTTTCGGCACTAACTTCTCAGCAGGTGTCCCAGATCAAGCTACTCATAGTACACGCGATTGTTTATTAAAGTGTCCTGCATGTGAAGCGTGGCTGGTTATTTTTTAATTAGGGTTGGAAACCCAATATGCGTGTGTATTAAAGTCCCTAAGGCCTGGAGCAAGGCAGGGGCGCCGCGAAAGAGACGAGGGTGCCGAGGGGTGGCGCGAAGCGAACCCTCTCCCAGCGCCTGCTCCCCAGGTAACTAACTCACCAGGATGCCCATCACGTCGGCCCACAGTCTGGAGAACGCCTCGGAGGAGCCTGCGTCCGGCTCGGGGTCCGGCTCGGGGTCCTGCGCGGGGCCCCCCGCGCCCGCGTCCTGCTCCATGGCCGTCCCGCGCGCCGTGCGCTCCTTCCCAGGCGCCCGGCTGGGCTGCGTCCCCGCCCGCGCGGCGTCACCGAGCCGCGCCCCCGCGCCGCATGCCCGGGCTGCCCACGAGGCCCGCGCCCGCCCCGGCCTGCGCTCCAGGTGGCCGCGGACAGCGCGGCTGACAACTCCAGAAACTTTCCCGGCCGGGTCTGCGCAGCGCCGGGCGGCCGGAGCGAAGTCCGCACCACCGCGCCGCGGCGGGGAGCTCGCCGAGCCCAGCGGCGCCGGAGCCCCACGCACAGGCGCCGCTTTCCGGGGCGGGGGCGCGGCGAGCGCGGCACGCGCCTCCGGGGTGCCGGGCGGGCCCCGCGGGGCTCGGCCAGGGGACGGCGGCGCCCCGGGACCCGGCGAGCAACTCCCGGGCCCCCTCTCTTCAAAATGAGCTCTTCCAGCTCCACATGACTCTCTCCCCTCCGGGCTAAAGAAAGCGTTTAGCAACAAAAGGTGCTCTGATGTCCGGCTCTTGGCATGGAAATGAGCCGCGGACACAACAAATCGCCTGTTGAAAGAGCAGCCGCGCCGCGGCCTCGAGCCCGCGTAAGTTTCCAATCACGCCATTCACGGACGCGGTTTTGGTCCCAGAAGCTCCAGAGAGTTAATTTTGAAGCTTTCCAAGTAGTCAGTGTGGGCTCAATGCACACCTCGCCCCTGGGGAGACAAGCGACCCCAAGGAATTACAACCCTGCCTTTGTCAGGCAAGACCTCGCTGAAAAACAAATGTGACCGCTTGGGCACGAGCCATTGTTTGGATCCACTTTGGAGTGGGGCGTTTTGTCTCCCGGGCGTCCCCAAGGCGCTCATTAGGGGCAGGAGTCCTGCCTGTCAGGGGTTCCTTTACCTTAAGGATCAAGCAAGGGCTAAATGCTCATTGATTGTGGCGCCCAGCTCAAATACGCTTGGGCCCTGTGTGTGTTTTTGCAAGAGGAAGACCATTGAAGGATTTATTTTTTGAGGGAAATAGCCCTGTAGAGTTTAGTTTTCCTTTTGTGATTCTTTCTTTTAAACCCAGGGAGAGTTATTCCCGGAGATGACAATACTTGTCACATTTGATTTGGTGACTGATCACTTCGTGAAACAGTTAAGGCCCCACAAGGAATCTGACCCTTGTTAAAGAGCTGGGGAGAGGGACAAATCAGATGAGGTGCCCCAGGGAACCTTACTTGCTGCAGAAGATTTTCTGTTGGTTTTCTTGCGCGGGGGAGGAGTCTCTTTGCTTTGTTTTGTTTTTGTTTTTGTTTTCCACACCGGGTTTGGCTGTGTGTGTTAGGCTGGCTTCGAACTCGGTGTAGCCAAGGCTGGCCTCGAATTCATGGGACCCTCCAGTCTCAGCCTCTAGATTATAGGCATGCATGACATGCCCAGCTCTTTAAAACCAACCAAACAAACAAAAAGGTATCTATATAAAAACAGGAAAATAGTAAATGGCACCAAAAGTAAATAACCTTTACAGTTGACTTCACTGGGATATTGGAGAATAGTAACTAAACAGCCCCGTGGTACTTTTTCAAATTCAAGCATATACTGGGCTCAGTGCTGTTTCCACTCAGGAGTAGTGTGTTCTCCGCGCAAATACTTTAGGGCATTATGCAAGCAGGGCTGTGGGGCTGGGGCTGGGGCTGGGGCTGGGGTTAGAAGGGCTGAATCTTTAGCACCAATGAGGAGTGTTTTCCTCCTGACTCAGATGACCTGGGGCAAAGCATTTGACCTTTCTTGGCTGCAATTTCCCCATCTGAGAGGAGGCAAGGCCATGCTAATTGATACCCACCCACTCAGAGGTAGTGAGTTTTGAAATCTTTCAAAGTTTTCAAGTCTTTTAAAGATAGAATTTTGAAATCTTTTAAAGTTTTGAAGTCTTCTAAAGATAGGTTCTGTTTAACAACACACACACACATACACAAGGACCTTACCCAGCATTTTAGTACTTGTAGATATCAATAGTCTAAATATTGCAATATTCTAGATATTTTATACCACAGAGACTCCAAAAACTTAAGCTTCGTTTCCTGATGCTCCCTAATAAATAGCTGGAGAAATAACACAAAATCACTTCCAGGAAAGTGTTGATGCGTATTCGTTGTACCATCTAAAGTCACTTTCCTACTACCAGAACATGAATAATTTGGTTGATCATTTTAAAAAATGAAGCTGACCTTAGCTTCTGTACTTATCAGCTCCCCTATATTAACTGAAAATGATTACCGCCCTCGATTGAGTTTTTTCTCTTTTCTTCTAAAATTCCTTTAGGGAATTTTTAACAGATTCCTTTTCCTCGTGAAAGAATCACTACCACCCTCATCCTCACCATCACCATTACTATCACTATCCACAGCATCTCTGGGAGTATCAGTTACCTCAGAGCAATATCAGTTATGAGGGCATCCTGTCCCATGGAGGTGGAGAAGATCCTTGAAGAGGATATCGGTCAAATTCCTAACCCTAAGCATCTCAGAATGTGAATTATCAGGCCATGTGAACACATGTGGGCAAAATCAAAGAACAAGCTGATTATCTTAAAGTTTCTTTGATTGATATTGTACTACATTTGATTCCCACAAGCCTCTGCAAGCCTGAAAGTGTAGATATTCCACTGAAGAGGAACCTGCAGACATCCTGTCTCCTTTTCCCCATTTGTATTAGGGCTTCCTTTCACCTTGATGGACTGGTGACATGGATTCTGTGGGCCCTGATAAATGTTATCAGAGCAGAACAGAAAACAATCAGAATGCATTCACTGAGAATACTGATAATGTAGACATCTAGTAAGTACTGTTTAACCCTATTGTATTGCATGTATGCGTGCACCACACATACAAACACGTGTGCCCCCACAAATACAAATACAGTATGATACATGTTTATACCAGCTTGCTTTATAAAAAGTATAAACTTTATAAAAAGTTCTTGCACTGCTTAGTGGCATACATGTGTAATCCCAGCACTCTGGGGGAGGCAGCAAGATCAAAAGTGTCAGCCCATCCCAGACAACTTAGTTTACATAGATTCAAAGTTCGGCGCTGGGGATTTAGCTCAGCAGCATAAGCGCCTGCCTTGCAAGCAGTCAGTCGTGAGTTCGATCCCTGGTACCGATAAAAATGAAAAAGACCAAAAAAAATTTAAGAAGGGAGGTGGGGTAGGGAAGTAGCTCAGTATTTAGTCCCGGATTTCAATCCTTACTACTGAAAAAATGTTGCTCTTATTACAGGTCAGAATTACAAAGTTTAAAAACCACTTGTTTAAAAGCCACAGGGTACATGGGTACAGTTGTGGCCTACTAGGTCATTATACCAACAAAAGAAAGGTGGCTGGTCTGTTGTCTGGCAGTGTGCACAATTGCACAGTAGCAAGCGTAAATACAGTGGGGTCAAGAAAAAGTTAGGTTTGAATTTTTACTGGAGTTTCTGTAAGACACTTGCAAATTACTTCTTAATCTTCAAAATGGGCAAATTCTTTATAGTTCACATAGTTATGAGGTTCTGTGATCAGGCAAGAACCTCTCCGATTGGAACCACGCCTCCTTTTCCCCTTAGTTCTTCCTTCCCCACTGGTTTGTCCTGTGATGTCACATCTTTAAACAGGAAGTTTTCTTGTTCTTACCTAAATCTCTTGAATCACACAAGGGAGTAGTTGCTAGCCCTGGAATGTGGATGCTGAGTAACACAGGGGGAGTTCACCTCTGGCGAGGCAGAAGTAAGGGCTGGTAAGGCTGCTGCAGTTCTCAGTGACTGTAGTAACCACAGCAATAACGATGGCAGTCATTTTTGAAAACCTACTCTCTTCTAGGCATTGTGCTTGAATTCTTAAAATTCATCAAAGCTTTTTAACATTCTCAAAACAAAACATAAAATGTCATACCATGCTTAACATTCCTATGCAGTTCCTCCCTCAGTTACATCCATCTATGTACCCACTCAGGCTAAGGACCTTATCCTCACCATCATTCCCATCCATACCATGGATAAGCCCTGCTGATTGGTCTCCTACATCTAACCAATTTCATCCATTCCTCGCCTTCACCATTTCCTGCACTTGAGCCCATGCTGCTATTCTCTGCTGTGGTATTTTACCCACAGCAGTGCTTCTCAAAGTGGTGACACAAGCATGTGCTGAGAACTTTTGGGAATGCAAATTTCCACCCCAACCTCAAGCTTACTGAGTCAGACACTATAGGCAGTGACTGGTAATCTATTTTAATGAGCGCCCCCAGAGCCAGGTATGGAGACATATGCCTATCATCCAAGCACCCTGGGAGGCTGAGACAGGAAAATTGTAAATTTCACCCCAGCCTGGGCAATTTAGCTAGACTTTGACTCTAAATTTAAAAAAAAAAAAAGGCAGAGGGTATGAATCACTGCAAAGACCCTGGTTGAAATCCAGTAACACAGAAGAATTGGAGCCCTTCTAAAGATAGCACTGTGTGCTCAAATCTGAGATACCTTGCAAACTTTGGGCAGGTCAGAATAAGAAAAAGGAGCATTTTGTTGAGGAAAGGTGAAGTATTAACATAGAATACATTAAAAAAGATATGCTAGGAGATTGGTTTTTAAAATTTACTAGTGAAACAAACTGTCAAGGGACAAGTGAGAAGAAATCCCCCAATCAGATATTCAAAGACACTTGGTTTTCAAGGGCAAAATATTAACTATTTAAATTAAAATACATTCTCAATAAGAATGCATTTTCACATGCTTTTGGAACAGATCTGCATTTAAATACTTAATTTTTTTTTTTTTTTTTTTTGTAAAAGCACATTTTCTGCTTATAGAAAAGCTTAAATCTAAAAGTTTAGGGACTGGGGATTTAGTTCAGTGGCATAAGCACCTGCCTTGCAAGCAGGCAGTCGTGAGTTCGATCTCCAGTACCGATAAAAAAGAAAAAGACAGAAAAAAAAATCTAAAAGTTTATAAGTAGTCCAATTTTTGCTTTACTGTACTTCTGGCCACTGAAATCAAGCAATGAAAACCGGTAATTTCTAGGGCCGAGGATTTAGCTCAGTAGCCTAAGTGCCTGGTGAGTGCAAGGTCATGAGTTTGATTATCGGTACCAAAAAAAAAAAAAAAATAGGTAATTTCATCAATTCTGCCAAGGGTGGCAGCGCTCTGTGACACTCCGGCTGGGCTTCACAGTGCCTTGGGAACTGAATGCAAGGCAAGATTGATACTCTATAGCATTTTTCCCATCACGATTCCCAACTAATTTTTTTTCCACAAATGCCTCAAAGGTGATAGAAGCACAGGGAAAAGTATTACTTGTGTAAAACCCAGTTCATTAGGGAATATTTGGTGAGAGATGAGAAAAAAGCCAGGAGCAAACCAAGGAGAAGTTAAACTGAAGACAGTCTGCACAGGCCAGGGGGAGAAGGTACACAGCGTGGCTGTAAATGTTCTCCTGGACTTCTCTCCTCTGATAAACAGTGCTGCTCGCCTAGCTAGTTACACGGTCCTCATCTGCATCTGTGCTGTGTAAACCCCACGGATCTGCCTGGAAACTAGTCTAATGGACACAATAGCACTGTCATGGATAATTCATTTTATACTATG